GGATAAACGGTGTGGTAATGCATGAAGGACGAACACACACACACACACTCATTTTTATATATACTGTATATAAATGATACTCATAATTCAAAGCTATCAGTTACTTTTCGCCATCTTTCTGGGTCTTTTTTGTGAGCCGACTCCATCGGAATTCAGACGGTCGGCTATTTCTTGCCACAATTTCTGGCGATCTTTTACAGTAAAGGAAGCATCTAACGTCTCTGATATTAATTTAGGGTTGTCTTCCATAAAATTAACGAGCATCTCGAACTGGTGACTTGTAGTTCGCTGACTTCGTTGGTCTTTCTTCGACATTTTAAAACAAAACTATCCATTAGCGCTGGTGCACGACAATGCTAAAACCACGTGCTTTCGCTTAGAAAATGGCGGGTTGCAGTCACGTGACAAAAATACAATGTTAACTAAACTGTGATTGGTTAAAACGTAATAGCTATCGATAGCGTGGAACCCAGACGCGTTTCGACCGACTACCCGTAGCGAAACCCACTTAACGTGGAGCACAGAATAGCGATTTGTCTAAGGTTCGTTAACTGCCTTTCGTTAAGATGACTTATCGAATGTCCCGTGTATTGCTGTCGTTGAGTTATCGGATGAGCTCGGAATAGGTTCCCATGTCCACACTGGTGCCATTGTGAGCCTGGCCGAACCCATAATGAGTTTGCTAAAAGGACTTAACAAATTCCCAAACTCAAATTTGTATGTAGACCCTTTTTACTATTGATATACTGTATATAATCTCGAGAATAATGTTAGATATAAGAAAGTCGAGACCAGATATGGAAAGTTTAGTGAAATGAAGCCTTGATATATGAACTTCCGGGCTAAACCGAAAGTCACATGATGTCAATTAAAAAATTTTCCTCAGAATGAAGTTACAGCGATGATCGGTATAACCAGTGCTGTAACTAGCCATTCCTGTGCCCTGTGCAAGAATTTGCATTTAGGCCCCTTAATTAGGTTTGGGAAAAAATAAAACAAATACATGTATTTTGGGCTCCTTCCAAATGGACCTTGTGCATGTTGCATCTGCCTAGTACGGCACTTATCTTATCAAATCTTAACCTTATCAAATCTGCCTCTTAAAATTAAAAATATCGGGAGAGGGAGTCAAAATTTATTTTTCCTATTGTCATATTCTATAATAGGCAGGAAAGTAGAAATTTAATCAATACAGTTATAAATGGTCTTGTTTGTAGTTCAATTAGTTTGTAGTTCAATTGTTATCAGGAAAAGTATGACAAGACACTAGTATTTGAGGTGGAGAGCGTATATTTTAAATTAAATAAATTAAAAATTTATCAACTGAGAATTCTTCTTAAAAGCTGATAAAGACTCTAGCTGGACTTTCCCGGCACTCAGAATTTACAAAGTTATATGTGGCGCCATCTATTACGAGATTTTATTTTTAAAATAATTTTTATATTTTTAATTTCTATAAGAAGGCAAATGCCATTATTTTTAGGAGTACCAGTGAGTTTTTAAAGTAGTAAATGCTAATGATGAGTAAAATTTTAACTATCAAAATTTCATAAAATAAATGCTCCTTAATACAGTTGTCCCTTCATAATCCGACAGGTATGGGACCAAAGGTGTGTCAGATTAGCAAAAGTGTCCGGATTACCAAAAATAATTACATATTTCGCATTGTTTAGTTAGCAGTAACTTACAATATTCTCTACTCCAACTGTTCGAACAGAACTGCTCACATAAAACACACGAAATGTGTGTCATCGAGTAAGAATTGGATAGGGAGATTCACATCGCGACATGCTTCTGTGCAAGCAGACACGTAACGGGGACGGGTACCTTGACGAGAGGTGCGTCGGACTACTGAGCATGTCGGATTAAAAAACGTCGGACTATAGAGGGACAACTGTATAAAGAAAAAATTCTGCCAAGTTCTGAAATTTTTGGTTGGTCGGTCCCGAGATATGAGACATATTCAATAAGATTAGTAGCGGCCTTTTCTGAATTTTTGAACTCTTTTGCAAGCTTTATGCAACAACTGTATGACTCTCCAAGTTTGATATGGGCAACACTATTTTGTAAACCGCGCCGTAATGAACTTAAACGCCAAGTAGTAGAGACGACTATTGTTACAAGGCTGCATCTAATATATAATCGAGACGGGTTGATGATAATAATAATAATAATAATAATAATAATAATAATAATAAT